CACACTATCCCGCAACCCCCACCTTTGTGAGTACCTCCACATCAGGCCTGACTTCACCTGTACTGTCTCTTCCATCCATTTGTCTGCACACCCTGGCTTGTCTGTCTTTGCAGGTGTGTTCCCTGGAAAGCCTGTTCCTAATTCCTGCTCTCACACAGGCCTGTCTTTCCCTCTCCCTGGCTCTGGTCGTTTCCTAAATTTCCAACTCTGTCATCCAGCTTAAACAGAAGTCCATGCCCCTCTCCTCCCCAGCCACCAACACCCTGTGAGCTCCAGACAAATCTTTTTGCCATAAACTTGGCTAAGACATGGTTTAATGTTTTTTTTTAAAAAAAAACCCACAAAAAAACATGTTAAGAAGCTGAGGGAAAAGTGTCCCACAAACTGGGAATTAGAAGGCTGACAGAGGCCTAAGAGAGGAGGCCAGACCTCCAAGGAGCTCGCACACCTCTCCTTATCTGCCCTCCAACTCAGGCTGGCTTGGCATGGGAGACCCTACCTAATGTATTTATTTTTATTGATTGATTGCTTTTAGAGAGAGGGAGGGGAAGGGGAGCGAGAAAAGGAAGAGAGAGAGAGACTGACTTGTTATTCCATTTATTCATGCATTCATTGGTTGATTCTTATATGTGCCCTGACCGGGGATTGAACCTGCAACCTTGGCATATCCGGACGACATTCCAACCAACTGAGCTGCCCCACATGCCAGAGGAGCCCTTCCCTAATTTAGACAGTATTACTGCCAGATCTAGCTATTCCCCTTGAAACGTGTTACCTGCGGATCTCTCTAAGCAAGGGTCTCCAGGTCAGCACTACAGGGCAACGGGCCAACTCTGGAGCTCCGAGGTCCCTGGATCCCCAGGTGAGGAAGGCCTTCCCTTATCTGGTTGGTCAATAGTTTGTTCAACAAACATTCACTAAGCACCTGTACTGGAAACAAAGGTATGCATACTGGTGGTCCCTCCAGGTGCTGACAGTATAGAGTAGCAGAAGGAAACAAACTAATTGTACAGGACGCCCACCAGCCTATGATGGAAGGAAGCACAGGGGGCTGTGAGAGCACAGAGGACAGGGCCCAGCCCCGGCCCCAGAGTCAGGGAGCTTCCTCGAGACCTGGAGGGCAGGACAGAATCCTGAAGGATAAACAGGAGGTTGGTGGGGCAACATGGAGGAGAGGGAGTTCTAGGCACAGGAAACAGCGTGTACAAAAGCTTGGAGAAAACACGACACTTGAGAGAAACTAAATGCCTGAGGTCCCCAGTTCCCACCACATCCTGGCTCCAGGCTCCCCGGCACGGACACCTCGGTCACCATCCTGGAGCGCTGATCCAAATTCTGGAAGTATCACCCTTTCCCCCTGGCACTTCCTGAGCCTGTCCAGGCTGCCTGATGCATATTTGCAGACCACATGTCAGGGCTGCTTCCACGCGAGGGTGAAACTCGGCTACTTCACCCGAGGTCGGATTCAGTTCTCTGGGCCTGTGTCCAGTCCTGGTTGGGCAGAGTCACTGTGTCCTGCAGGGTCCCCCCATAGCAGCCAGCTGGGGGTCTCCCCATTCCTCCACTGCGGTCCCACCCTTCTTGCAGCTACCCCACCTCTTGGCCTGCTCTCTGATGACCCGCCCAGCGGTCCCCTCCCACTTATCCTGCATCCTCAGGTTGGCCTCCCAAAGTTCTTATTCTTTATTTTACACATGGAAAATGCTTTCTATGACCTGTAGCTGAAAGGGCCCATCATTCTCTCTCACACTTCTGCCTGTCCCATCTCTGCGATTCCTTATCTCCTTTTCAAATATTTAATAAAATGCTCTTCTTTTTTATATCATAAAAGTAAATATGCAAACTATAAAATATTCAGAGAGAGGATAAAACTAGAGGAATAAAAATAATTATTTTCTAAATATTTAGGGGGCCCCTACTCTATGTTCCTCCTCCTGGAAAGGAGGCATTATTACCATCTCCATTTCAAATTTGGAAATGCTCAGGCCTAAAGAAGTTGAGGAAGTTGCCTGAGGCACACAGCTGCTCAGCACTGGGATTTCAGCCCATGTTCTTTGAGTCCAGCACTTTGCCTACTCTCTCTACCTCTGCTCTCTCTCTCTCAAGTCTCTGCCCCCTATGGCCTACTTGCCCTCCTGGTACTATGCTGAGGCCTAAAACTGGACCCAGAACCATTCAAATTTGCATGATGATTTCCGTGTTTATACACAAGCAGGTGCCTCCCCAAATCCCCTGCAGAGTTTGGATTAACTCAGGAAAACCAAGGTTGGGATGGTGGCAGGAGAGCGAGCTCTACTCTGCCCTGCTCAACATTTCTGTCTCTGCCCACTCACCACTCCACCGCCCAACCCTCACCCCACCACCCAACTCCTGGCCTCCATCCTTCTACATGCCAGGACTGCACCAGGATCTAGACGTGTGGCCTTAGGGACAGAAAAGTCTGCACCAACTTGGTCTCCATCCTTCATTGCCTGGGGGAGGGAGCAGTGACTGGAGAAAGGCTGGCCTGGAGAATCTCCCTCACCCTCCTGTCTTTCCATCCCAGGCCAACCCTGGGGCAGGGGCAGGGCCTGGGGAGGGAGAGTGTGGATCTACCACCTTTGAGTCATCAAGGCCCTGGTCCAGTGCTACATAGAGACTGCCCTGGGGGAGTTTGAGGTTGGTTGCTCACCTCCGAGCCTTCCCTATTTCTGTTCCTTGCTGGCTGGGATAAATGCACCATACCCAGACTCACACCCCTTATCCATCCTGCAGTCATATGTGACCCCATCCTACCTGCACTTAGAAGCCACAGCCTGCACAGTGTGGCCCCTTGCACTCAATTACCCTCTGAACCATTTATTTATTCTTTTCATTTCATTTATGTGTTCACTTATGCTCACCTATCCCTTAGTCATTTTACTCATATACTTAGTTCATTAGTCATTCACTTATTCATTCACTAGAGGCCTGGTGCACGAAAATTTGTGCACTCGGGGGGAGGTCCCTCAGCCCGGCCTGCACCTTCTTGCAGTTTGGGACCCCTCAGGGGATGTCTACTTGCCAGATTAGGCCCACTTCCTGGGGGATTAGGCCTAAGCTGGCAGTTAAACATCCCTCTGGCAGCCCAGGAGCTCTTAGGGGATGTCTGACTAACGGCTTAGGCCCACTCCCCACAGGGACATCCTTAGAGCTGCCACGGATCCCGGATCCTGCTGCCACCACTGCTGCGCTGGCCAGCCATGAGCTGGCTTCTGGCTGAGCAGTCCTCCCTCTGTGAAGTGCACTGACCACCAGGGAGCAGCTCCAGCATTGAGTGTCTTCCATGGTGGTCAGTGCGCATCATAGTAACTGCTGTTAGGGTCAATTTGCATATTATCCTTTTATTATATAGGATTCAATCAACATTCATAGCCATACCCCCTTTGCCCCAGGCCCTGTCTTGGAGGGAGGGGGACTGTAGAGCAGGGACACATAGGAAGCTTTCAGTCTGGTGAGGAAGATAAATCGTCTTATTAGGCAGAAGGTGCTTTGCTAAGAGAGACACAAACTGCAGTGGGACCCAAAGGAGAGAAGGAGCCTACCATTTGAGAGGCTCACGGGAAGGAAGAGGGACAACATACCAGAAGTTGAGAAAGAGGAGGTGGAATCTGAACTGGACCCTGAGGATGGCTACACGTAAACAGGTGTAGATGTGGAAGAGCGCTGACAGGGCAGATGCAAAAATCTCTACCTGTTAAACACTTTCCCATCCTTAGGGCTCTTGATCCCGTCACTGGGCCACAGACTTTCCTTCTTTGTATCTTTTCAACTCACCACCACCTGGCCCCCCTCATATTCATCTGCCCCATACTCCACCTACCTACTAGACCCCCTTCAGAGAGAAAGGGAGAGGGAGGGAGGAATAGAAACATCAATCTCATTTCTCCCCTAGGAGCCTCAAGCATGATGTCCCCTGGGGTTCTGTGGAGGGTAGAAGTGGTACAAGGCAGGTTCATCTTCTGAGGGACTTCCCATCAATACTCCCATCGTGGGAGAACCTGGTGCCCCATCCTCCCACAGACCTGGGCCACAGACTAACAGGCTGACCGAGACTGTCTCTTGACCGCAGAGTGAGGTAGCTGGTGTGCAGTGGACTCTGGCAGAGGAAGGGTCACCCGAGTGTGCAACAGCTTCCAAAACCTGGGGCCTCCCATCCCTAAAACCCCAGAGCTGACAGTGCCAGGGATTGCAGGGACCCAGGTATCTTCAGAAACTGGGCTTCAAGATGCTGGAGGAGGTGGGTCTCCAGCACCTGGAAAGTCTGGTCCCTCCCCCACCGGCCTCCACCCCCAACTCATGTGCTGGTGCATACGCAGCAAGAGTCAGAGGGGGCTGGGGACCTGCCCAGGAGGAAGATCTGGGAACCAAGGAGGGTTCTTGCTGCAGTGGGAGGGCTCCTTCTGTGGCTGACTAGGGCAGCTACATGCTGAGGGTGGGGGTCATCTTGTAGGAGCTGCACTGCTTTCCTCACCTCGATAAGGTTTCTGTTCAGGATATCAGATACCTCCAGGGTGTGTGAGACTCACTGTCTCTTCATGTTTTATGACCCCTTCCCTCCCCCAAAACAGACCCTTGTGGGAGCAGGGCAGAGAGAAATGGCTTGCTCTGGGGCCCCAAGTATCTTGGGCTTAGGATCCTACCTTGAGTTCCTTCAGCTCTTTAGTGCAAAGAGTTCTGGACTGCGAGGCAGGGGGCCTGGTTTCAACACTAACTCTCTGACCTTGAGCAAGTCGCTTTCCTCCTTGGCTTTGCTTCCTCATCTGACGAATGAGCCGAGGAATCCATCTGTCCCCTTCCTGCCTCCAGGATGTTGAGAGAAACCTCGGGCTGTTAAAGCTTCTGGGTGTGACAGGGGTCTGCACAGGGGACCATGTCTAATAGAGAGAAAGAAGTCATTCGTTTAAGTCCCTCAGTCCTGCCAGGCCAGAGCAGGGCAGATGGTCCAGTCTCATGGAATAAACTGATCATGAAATTCGATGTCACCACACTCCAACACTGTTTAATCAAGAGGTCGTCACAGCACTACCTTTACTTGTCCCAGGGAGTCTCCACCCTTCCATGGCCTCAGATTCCCCCACATCGTGGTTGGGGAGATGGCTTCTAGGGCTGGGTCTGAAACCATGTTCTTGCTTCTGGAGGCTGCTCGAAGGCCCCCTTCTTCATATGAAGGTCAACAGTTCGCAGGACTCCTAAGTGGTAGGCATTGAACTTTCAAGGGCCCAGCTCCCGAGAGCTGGAACCCCATGGGGGCCAAGTGTAGGGTCTTCCAGGAGAGCAGAAAGAAGGCCCTGTTGGACAGTGGGTCTGGCTGCCCCCCCTGCTGGAGAGAGAAGAAAAGAAGGTGAGGGGCCAGTAGGGCCGGGAGGAGTCAAAGCAGCAGAGGGAGGGGAAGGAGGGCAACTCACTTGGTACAGACATACAGCCCCGCCTCTTCTCCCCTGGAATAGACAGCTTGGTGAGCCTTCATGTAGACAGACCCTCATACCCCAAACGCCCCTTCCCACCAGGCTCTGGCACTGGCCGTTCCCCTTCTCAATCCATCTTTCCCTTCCCCTAAATGCAAACTTCTGGCTTCCTTTCCTCCTCCTTACCCCAGGAAATCTTCCCAGATAGCCTATCCATCCCTGCTCCCTGCCTAGCCCCAGGCACTGCTCCACTCTGTCCCTGCCTCCCCACTTGGGAATAGCACAGATGTATCCTGTGGACCCGTTAAGCCCAGGGCCTCCTGAGATCCAAAGCCGCATTCCTGTCACTTCCCTCTCCTTGCTGATCCCCTGGACGGGGCTCTTTTGCTCTATTAGACTCTATAGGACATGGAACCTTTTGAGCACATTTACAGAATCATTTGAGACTAGGCACAGATCTGGAGAACACTGACAGGACCTCCTAAGAGCTGGTAGGACCTAAGTCACGGAGAACCGTAACTGCAGCTGACTTCTACCTTTAACCAGCTAGATCTCCTGAAGGTCCTGGGGATCGATAGGGACATCTTGGCTTATTTCACGCTCTTTGCCAGTCCTGCTTCCCTCATGCACAGCTCACCACCCAGATAGGCGCAGTTAAAGTGGCTGCAGGTCTTATTTTGGCTCCAGAGGGTCACTAGGCTCCGGGCTCCATCTTGGGAGAACGTGGTGACCAAGAAGACTTCGTGGGGAGGGATCAGCACCTCGCGCTCCTTGGGGAAAACAGACAGGGCCTCGATGGGGGCCCCAAAACAAGTCCTTAGGGAGAAGAAGGTGGCATTACCAAACCTGAGGGCCACTGCCTCATCCAGGGAGCTGGAGACAAACTGGCCCAAGCGGATAGAGTCCCCCAACCTCTTGGGTTCAAAGCGAAGGGTGCCTACACCTCGGAACACCACCTGCCCAGGTCCCCTGCTGCAGCCCTTGCTCCCCTGTAGCAACTGCAGGGCCCGGGTCAGGTAGAAATGCAGGGCCTTGAAGGGGAAGTGCCTCATGTAGTGCTCCCGGGAGACACCGCCTGTCTGCACCGCCTGGTTCAGCTCCCAGTACAGGTTGTTAGATGAGTTGGTGTAGACCATGACAGCGATTCCATGCTGGGATTTGAAGCCAGGGGGCAGTGTGAGCCCTCGCTGCTTCTGCTCCCAGGCCTCCTGGGCTGCCTCCCAGGATTCCCGCAGCAGTGCATGGCGGGCCATCTCCTCCTTCAGCAAAAGGGCTGCCTTCTCCTCCATCTCCTCTGCGCAGCCCACGTAGGCGTCATCGAAGGTGTCTGGAGCCAGGCCCAGGAGCAGGATGGGAACAGCCTGGGCCTAATGTGGTTAGGAAGAGAGGAGCCGCACAGGAAAGGGTATAAATTCAGATCGTTGGACAGGGACCTGATGGCAGATCAGTTCAGAGTCACAAAATCTCATTTTTTTTATGCCCAAATAACTGGTGTATACAATTTGGCAAGAGCCCAAGGGCTTAAATAACACAGGCACTGGAGTCAGAGATGGGTTCATCACCTACTAGCTGTGGGATCTTGGCCAGTCTCTTAACTCTTCCGGGCTTCAGGTTCTCCACCTATACATGCATACTTCCAACCCCATAGGGTTATTATGAGGCTACAACCTAAAAGGGGTCATCTTGTCATTAAAGAGGTCCCCACACTCAGAGGGAAGGGGGGCTAGCTGGCTTCCAAGCGCTCTTCTGGCTCTAAGACTCAGTGTGCAGATGATGCACAGATGTGCCACTGTGTCCCAATTACCTGACCCCGCCCCCTCCTCAGACTCTCCCATGCAGTGCTCAGCCACCTCACCAAATCCCTGTCAGCTCTGAGACTCCGAGTGTTCTCCCGCGGTCACCCCCAGACCTGGGGAGGGGTGGGGAGGAGCCCTGGTCCCGGGGTGGCCCAACCCACTTTGTCTAGACTGAGCCTGAGACGGGATATTGGGGGTGAGGAAGTTAGAGACCGTTCCTCGGGAGGGATGAGTATGAGGGAAGGAGGATCAGTGGGTGAAGATGGGGGTTCCGGTAGAGGCAATGGGAACTGGGGGCTCCCTGCAGGGAGGAAGGCTGCAGAGACTAAGAGGATTAAGAGGACCGGTGTCTTAGAGAACAGTCCCTGGGAGAGATTTTTGAGGAGTTCGCCCCCAGCTCTTTCCTCTGTGGCAGGGGATGGTTCCCCGTTACCTGCCAGAAGGCGTGAAGGTGCAGGCAGCTGAGGGTGAGCAGCAGAGCAGCCTGCATCATCTCTGGGGGAGACAGGAGAGCGAGGTCCGGAGGCGGGTGGGATCAGCGGCAGCGGTGCAGCCTTGGCGTCAGCGGCTGGAGGAGGAGGAGACCCACCGGTTCTTCTGCGGAGTGAAGAGGGTCCAGGCCGCGGGGTTCAGGCCTGGGCGGGGCCAAGGGAGTGGGCAGGGCTTGGGTCTCACTGTCTCCGCCCCCCACACCAGCACAGCCCCAAGTCTCGGCTCCTCCGACTCCCGATGCCCCTACACTGCGTGCCTCTGCCCAGATAACTTTTTGCCGTGGTCCCGGTGATCTGACTCCACCTGGCGAGGGGCGGGGCAGGGACTTGGCACCCACCTGGAGGTCACGGAGGCCGAGAGAGCGGGAGGGTGTGGTCAGGCCAGCGGGTGCCGGTTGGTCGGTGTCTGGACGGGCGGGCTGGTCTCGGGAACCCGGCGGACCCGCTGAGTCCCACAGCTAACTATAGCCCCCGGCAGTAACCCAACACCTCTCTTGCCCAACGACAGACGCTGTGGCCGGGGAGCAGGAGGGGTGAGGAAGGGGCTGAACGGCTGACGCCCCTTCCCAAACTGCGAGTTCTTTCTCCAGGACCCTCTTTGGGTCCACGCAATTCCAGGGCTGGGGGAAGGAGCTGGTGAGACTTGGCCTCTCCCTCGGGGCTGCCTAACCCGGTAGCCAGACCCTTAGGACTCTTTAGGGCACCCACCCCTCCCTTCTCTTCATCCCCCTTCTCTGCCAATGGCGTTGGACCAGATGCAGAGCTCGCAGTTTCAGATCCTCAAGGTCCAGCCCGCCCCCCCCCCACCAGACCCGTGTTTATAAACACAGCCTTTCCCCTCCCCTACTGTGGGCCAGTCTATAAATAACCTGGCTCTGAGCTTCGGATGCCCAGTCAGAGGGAATGGGGGAACGGGACAGCCGAGGAATCAGTAAGCAGCTCTGGGAAGAACTTTCTGAGGGCCTGAGCCTCTGGGGGCAAGAGAGGTACGCCCCCAGAATGGCCAGAGGAGTTGGGGTTCCTGACTGTCAGGACTGAAGACTCTGCCCACTTCCTGCTGGGGCTGAGGTGGGCAGGGAGATTAGATTTACCCCAGGCTTCCATCCTAGTCTGGCTCATTAGTTTAGCCCCACCCCCTCAGATACCAACCAAATAAAAAATTTCCTTCACCTTGAATCCTGCTTTTTCTAAAAAGCCTTTCTATAGACTAATAAGGAAGGTGAACTGTGTTTGGGCTTGGGTGAAGGC